TGCTACTGAAATGCAAACTATATTAGCCTTGGTGAAATCTGGCTCCTGCTAGTGCTAATACTATTTGGAGGGCCTTGAGTTTCAACTGTGGGGAGTTCCTGAGCTCAGCAGGACTGAAACTTGATGTTTCGTGTCCTGCAGCCCTGAAAGATCCAACCAACCCTCATGTCATCAGAAATTTTCCACATTTCCACTATTCTACTTGATCAACTAGACTTTTTGTAGTCAACTATGGAAACCAGCATTTTGTGCATCTCTGCCACCAGCTGGCTGTTGGATTCCGTATGGGAAAGTTCTTGTGGCTTTTTCCAAAATCAAGGTCCATTGCAGGGTGGTGATAGTTGAGTTTACACTTGCAAATTCCACTGAAGGTTGATTCCATAGATACACCAGAAGCTGACATTAACAGAAAATCTGGCTTGTAGTCACTGGCCTCTGCACTCCCATTTCCACAGAAACAGCTGTCAGATCACAGATAGTGAGCCTGATCTGTAATGGCTCCAAACATAAGATCTCCATGGGGCTCAACAGAAATTCTGTAGGCAGAAAAAAGAGCAGCAGTACCCTTTGGAACATGAATTTAAGCCCTTTCTTTCCCCTTTTTTTCATTATTCTGATCTCTATAACTGCAAAAGCTCATTCAAAAAAATAAACAGCAACAGAAAAAAAAGCAAGAACTCCTGTACATTTCAGAAAATGCTATTTTCCAATAACTAGATAGATTCTATGCTCTTTGTGATGCTGACTCCCAAATTCAATCTATGGGAAAAGAACATAACAAACATCTATCAGATGGACATCATGTATTTCCGGGCATCTTGTTTTTTCTTCCTAAAGATTGGAATTACACCATTATCTATTTATTTATTTTAATTTAATTGCCAGGGCTGTTTGTTTGAATGTAAACAAACATCCACAGTGCCTATGACATGTAATCTTCCACATAGAGCTAGTGGATGGGAATAAAAAATATTTCTAGTCAGTTTGCAAGTGATATTAACAAACATACTTTTTTGAGTGAAATCTGGGCAGAAAATAAATTGTATTATTTTGGGTTAAAGATTCCCTCAATTTTCATAATCTTGGTTGTTAAGAAAACAAGTAGATGCATCTGCTTAATATTTATTTCTAAATATTTTATATTGATTTAAAATATCTCTCTCTTGAACATTTGGTTCGTTATTCACAGTTGAATCCATGTCAGTGGATCCTCAGCCCGTGTGATGCCAACACTGATTTCAAAGGTTTTGTACAAGCATAAAGGTTTCTTTGCACAGGTCCAACTGTGAAATCAGGGTTTTATTTCATCACCTTTGCCTTTTACACCATTATAAAAAAGCAACATGTTTTCACTTAAAAACATTTGGAGCAACAGTTTATGTCATAAGTCCAGTGGTTTGGGGCTTTCTAAGTGGACATTTGTTGATTTTTCTTACAGCTGGCAATCCAGAGAGAGAAAAGAAAGCGGTCCAGAAGACAGCATATGTCTGACTTGTTTTTGTCTGGGTGCAACTTTTTTCTACTGGACCCTGAAAATTGCTTTGGGGCCTCTCTCTCAATTTTCTGCTTCCTCATAACTCAGGCTCAGGGCCATTTCAACCACCTTGGGTATCTAAACAGATGTGAAGTTAATTAAAGCCAAGGATCAAGCTTATGATACCCAGCTGCCTGTTTAAATGTGATCAGATCTCTACGGTAACAGGCAAAACCAGCTGTCTGCCAACTTCTCTTCATAATGAGAGACGGTCAGATTCCAACTGCATTTACACCAGTGTAATCAGGAGTAACTCCACCAAATTCAGTGGATTTATCTGGCATTACCAGCAGCAGAATTAGGATCAGAATGAAATTCCATGGGAATAGTTTACCAGCTTATTAGAAAGATTTGCCTTAGAAGAAATATTAGGCGGTTAAGTTTTAAAAACAATAGCTGAGCTTTTCAAAGCAACTGAAGAGATTTTGACACTTCCCATTATAGTTAAATGGAACATGGGTGTCTGCAGAACCTAGGAAACTTTCCAGTCTCTATGCATATCTGAGTCCTCAGTTCACTCAAAAAGCCCAAACCGATCTCAAGGATAACCATATACAAAGGGAAAAAAAAAAAACACACACACACACAACAGTCTATACAGCATGCTGATCCTACTTCTGGGTTGCCAACATGAGCAAAATAGAAAGCGAGTGTCAGTTTAAGACGTACTTTAATAAGATTAGCTACTTATAAAACAGAAATCCTGGTGAAGAAGGGACAGTTTAAATTTAAGATTTATTTTGGTTTCACGTACCCTTTCATACCCTTTTCTATGCTGAGATGTACATCTGTCCCACTAGCATTTAAATTGTTCACACTAGTATGTGTTTGCCTCTCCTGTTAAAAATAACCAGTCTGACATAAATGAACAGAAGACAAGTAGGAACTGGGATTCCTACTCTAGCTATATTACAAACCAAGCAGTCTTACCTGCTTATTGCTACTTTTGAAGTGAATGGCAGAACTTCCACCTATACTTAACATAGAAGCAAAACTGGACTGTAAATATCACTTTTTGTGATTCCACCAGGAGCTCTTGCTCTCTAATAAGATCTGCTCTCACCCTCATGGCAGATCATTAAAAATGGTCATGTGCGCATAAAGGAGTGAAAAAACAGCAAGAAATATAGAAAGCCAACCAAGTAACCCACCCCCCCGCCTTCACACAACACTGTTCCAAAGCAATACGCCACTCCAGCACTTTGCCCATCACAACCCCGTGGTGTTGTTATGGTGTTTGTGGTTAACATTCATTCTAAAATTTTGAGACCAAGGATTCTTCAGAGAGAACCTGACAAATTGGAGGATTTGATCAAAAGAAATCTCATGAGTTCAGTAAGGACAAGTGCAAAAATCCTGCACTTAGGACAGAACAATCCCATGCATCAGTACAGGCTGGAGACCAATTAGCTAAGCAGCAGCTCTGCAGAAAAGGACCTGGGGATTACAATGGACAACAGGCTGAATATGAGCCAACAGTGTGCCCTTGTTGTGAAGAAAGCTAACAGCATACTGGGCTGCAATAGTAGGAGCGTTGCCAGCAGACCAAGGGAAGTGATTCTTCCCTTCTATTCAGCACTGGTGAGACCACATCTGGAGTACTGTGTCCAGTTTTGGGGGGCCCACTACAGAAAGGATGTGGGCAAATTGGACAGTCCAGTAGAGGGCAATGAAAATGGTTAGAGGGCTGGGGCACAGGAGTTATGAGGAAAGACTGAGGGAACTGGGTTAATTTAGTCTGGAGAAGAGAAGACCAAGGGGGGGATTTACTAGCAGCCTTCAACTACCTGAGGGGTGGTTCCAAAGAGGATGGAGCTGGACTGTTCTCAGTGGTGGCAGATGAGAGAACAAGGAACAATGGTCTCAAGATGCAGCAAAGGAAGTTTAAATTAGATATTAAGAAATACTCTCTCACGAGGAGGGCAGTAAGCACTGGAACAGGTTACCCAAAGAGGTGGGGGAATCTTCATCCCTGAAGGTTTTCAAGACCCGGCTAGACAACCACCTGAGGTCCCTTCCAACCCTCATTTTCCATGATTCTATTATTCTTTGTAAATATGTCAATAAGCATGAAAACATATTGCATAAATATATTTATATGAGTACTGATTTTTTAAAATATTATTTTATAAATACTTTGAGAGCTGCAAAATTTTCGATATAAAGATGAGCCAAACATTTCACAACTGGATAATGAACTTGGGTACTTCTATTTTAGAATGGCCAGTTCAGGACACCTTTGCCTGGACATCTAATCTACTTGCAGCTTCAATCAACTTCCAGTTTTAGCTGGAGGTGATCCATAGCAAAATGAGCAGCGGGTGATGACAGCACAAGTACCAAGCATTCACTTAGAGAGGACTCTAGAACAGCAGCTGCTTAAACCCCACCAACCACAGCTGGCCTGGCCCAGACCTTGCTACCCAGGGACCAGACCCTAGCTCAGGGATGGGCAAAATAAGGCCTGCAGGAGGGACTTGGTCTGGCCCACAGCAGGTCCCTGGGTCCCTCCCGATCTATTCAAGGCACCATCTGGCCCACGGTGCATCTCACTGCTTGCAGGTGCACAGCAGGGCTGGGGCAGCTGCATGCCCGGACTCCATTTCCGGGCAGCCCCACCAGCAGTGGGACACACAGGCAGTGGATCAGGCCAGACCACGCTGTCACCGCCACAAGATCCCAGCCCTGGAGCAGCTTCCCGCCCCGCTGCCTGCCCCGCCAGGCCTGATCTCCACGGAAGTCCTGGCCCCGCGGGGTCATGGCGCGGCGCGGCGCGGCACTGCTGGGGTCTCCGTGGAAGCCAGCCAGAGCCATGCAGGCAGGGGCTGCCAGGAGATGGAGCCCGGCTGCCGGCCGGGGCCGGGGGCCACACTTTGCCTGCCCCTGCCATAGAGGGAGCTTCGGGCTGAATCTGCATCATCTTCCCTCAGGGTTTGGGGCGCTGCGAGCTACGTGGGTCCGAGCCCCATTGAAACAGCTCGTCTTTCGGTTGCAAGAGAAATACCCACCTCGCCTCAAGCCGCGAAGCGGCTGCGCAGGCAGGTGCCAGCACGTGGCCTCGGCAGGCGGGGGCGGGGCGAGCTTGCCCGAAAGCAACCGGGCCCGAGGCAGGAAGACGCAGCCCCCAGGTGGGAAACAGCCGCGGGGAGGGGCGGAGGGCAGAGGACTCTGCAGGTCCCAGCACACAGCGCTGTGCCTCGGGCCGGGCCTGCGCGCTGGGGGACCGCTCACCTCCCCGGGACCGCCAGCGCCCCGTTTGTTCGGAAGCTCCCGCCAGGGAGAGACTGCACTTCCCAGAAGGCTCCGCGCCAGAGGCCCAGGGGCGGGCGGAGAAAGCGGCGCGGTGCATGCCGGGGGAAGCCAAGCGCCTGTGGCTCATGCGACGGGCGGCGCGGTGTGACGTCATGACTGCAAGTCCCAGGGTGCCTCGCGGCAGGACTACAGCTCCCACGAGGCTTGACGGCGCCGCCGCTCCTACGTAGTCGCTGTGAGTCAAGATGGCGTTGGTGGGGCGGGTGTACCGCATCTTCCTGCGCCGTTCGTCTGTCTTTGCCCTCAGCGTGTTCTGCGGGGTCGTGCTGTTCGAGCGAGCCTTCGACCAGGGCGCCGACGCGCTCTTCGAGCACCTCAACGAGGGGGTAAGCGCAGGGCCCGGCCCGGCCCGGCCCGGCCCGTGTGACCTTGGCGGGGGCGCTGCCGGGACGGGGGAAGGGCCCGCGGCAGAGCCCCTCGGCGCTGCGGGCTGGGCTCGGGG